TCATCCCCTGGACCTTTGTATACGATTACGTACGCACACAATGGGTCACTGGCCTTGATTCTACTGCTGGCATTAGCTCTTTGTCTCAGAGTCAGTTGGCGTGGTATCCTTCCCTTATTGGCCTCGGTTCTTGTGCTGGTAATGTCTTTCATATTTGTATTTTTGTCCCCTTTTGTCTTTAAATTTTTTTGCTGCTTTTATTGTTTTTGTTCGTGCAGGTATGGTTTATTTTTATTTTTTTGTTCTGCCTTTAGGTCAAATTTTGTTCGGACTTTTGATATCGAAGGTACATCATACTTTCGGACAGGAGAATCAAAGGTCCTTCCGATGCATTAGCAACTTGATCTTTGTGTTTGGTGCCGTTTTGCTGCTTAACGGTGCTATGACACTGTGTTTTACCTATGCCCCGGTGCCCTCCTACCTAACTTCTATTGCACTTGAAGGGTCAGATGTGGATGTGTTGATTTTTTCAACCACCACAGGGCGTGTATTTGCAGCCATCTGTTTTTTTCTCGGTATCACCGATGGCGCCTTTATGACTTTGTTGGGACCGATGCTGGAGTATTACTTGGATGAAATTCACTTTCCCGCCGGTCTGGGAATTAGTCTCTGTATCATCGGCGCTTTCAATCTTGTTGGCACACTCATTGGTGGTAAGTCAATTTTCTAATTCTCATCTTCCTTTAAAAAGTACTTTGGGTTTGTGCCATGCTTAACTTTTCACTATTGCACCCGATTATTCTATTTTGTTGTTTTACTGTTATGTGCAACCGCACGATCCTAGAACCCCAAATCGGGTTTCTCTCTTCCTAGGCCACTTACTAGACGCATCGGAAACCTACCATAGTGCAAATCTACTAGCTGCTTGTCTTCCCCTGGTGGGTTTTCTTATTCTCACCATTTTCTCCCTTATATTTTACTTCAGAAGAAGCAAATTCGTGGACTTCGACGAAAGCTTGCCATAGAGAGTCCGGTGATGCCAAACATGTTAGCATACACTCAACTTTATCATCAGTTACATCAGGGATACACGTTTTGATTAATGTTTGACTCATTATTTTTAAACCACTGATTTTACAATTGTGCATATTGACGATTTATTGACAATGAACCAATAGGTGTCAAAATTCTCTGTGTCAGCCATTTCTATCAGGCTTTCAAGCAATCAGTCCACTTATCAAAACAGCATTCGATTATCGCAAAAGAATGTAGCTGATTTCTTCAATAATCTTCTACGCTGAGTGCATGAAAGAAGGAAATGTAAAGGTCTGGGGTCGTGAGATGGCAGATCACAACTCATGTTTAACGCCAGTTTTAAGCTAAAACTTAATTCACCTTTAACGTCGTGATTCGGCCCAAGTCGATAGTCATAAAAACACCAATTTATGCGAATCAAATTATTTAATATCGCCAGTGATACATAAGAGTAGGTGGGAAAAAGGCAAAACAGCAAAAATGACGCAGAACAGTGAACAAACAGAATCTATTAGTCAAAAATTTAAGCACAATTAGACTGAAAGTAACAGCAGAATCAAGGCCAGTGACCCATTGTGTGCGTACGTAATCGTATACAAAGGTCCAGGGGATGACCACACCTGCAGCGGCTAGCCCATTAGTCAGCACGTAGATGAGAAAGGGTCCGTTGGTCCATACGGCAGGGGAGAAGAGGCAGAAGAAGCTGTTACGCAATTGGAGCCAAAATTCTCTAGTTTTTGCTCTCAGATCTTCCGAAGGTTGCACCTCCATGTAGTCACACTTCCGCGCCCGCGGTCGGTGCTGCGTCGGCGTAAGGATCATGAAGATGGGGCACAGGTACCACAGACTCTTCAATCGATCCACCACTCTCCGGCACACTGAAGCAACTGTGTTGAACCAAATTCCACGGGTCAAAAGCAACTACACTGCCTTGCCTCATACACCACTTTTCACCACTTTGCTGAATGCACTCCTTTTCTGTTATTAACAGATTATCAGAAGGCCTCATTGACTTAAAGCAGGAAGCAATGATAAGTTGGAGTAGGCAATGGAATAATCTTTCAAAAGCACACGCACCGATAAAAGTGCTTCATACTGTCATGGCGACACTCTTCCTCCACTTCATCCACTATTGGCTCAGTGCTTCAAACCTGAGTGTTAAAATCCTATACCCCAAGGATTCCCTCAGACCTAAGTAGATATCTACGAGTGCTATCACGTTCACTCCACACATATCCAAAATCGACTCGTCCCATGTGCATTAAAATAGGTCACCAGCACTCATAGGAACCAACCTGGTTGGATGGCAACGGGGCTGAGTTCGGGTGCATCTCCCAGAGGTTTCCGTCTATGGGCATAAATGGAGTCGTAATATGATGACCGGCTAAGAAACACGAAAAGCCGAGAACTTGGGATCGGTTGCCACCAACACCGATCTAGTGTGCTATTAGACGATTAAGCAGAAGTTACAAGTATCTGATGAAAATGTCATTGTCGAAACTGTTATCACATTTAGCGCCATAAAGCACGTCCGCAGGTGGCGCAACAGGAAAGCAGCAAAATGACTTCGGATTCAAGCGTCCCTTAAAGGGCTGTAAATAGGCTCGAGGGATGGTGTTACTTGGATGTTGGCTTCGCTCAGCATGATGCGGACAGATTAGTTAACACAATTGGTCTACATAATAACGAACAAAGCATAAGTGTGTTCGATTTCAGCATTATAAAATGTCGTAGCAACACAATTTTTAAAGAAAATTGATTTATGGAACATCGGAACTCACCCAACCGCAGTATCCACGTCTTGCGCTCCTGAAGTAGGACAGAAAGTGAAGTTCACAGTGAACCACAATCAGAAAGTTGTAACACCTTCTATCTGTGGATAAAAAGGAGATACAGGTACAGTTCACCACACAAACCGCACATATGCACGTGATCCAGCTGCGAAGTGTGCATTGACATCTCAAACAAGGGTACATCAAGCTGATGACAAATAATAAAACGATTTCACAAGTTATAAGTCAAAATTTAGATAGGGACAACGATTCGGTATGCGCCACGGCTTAGTAAAACGCACTCCACATCCAGTACCCCCTCGTGACAACGATGTGAGGATTAAAAGTACAAGTATGCAAAACTATCCTGGCGCCCAATGAACCAACTTTTGGAGCAAACTCTGCAATAATTTGCCCAAAACCTTCATCCATACGCAATTTTTAAATTAACATCGTATACAAAACATTAACATTCACCTGAATCTCTAATATCAGTACACAGTTCCAAGCCATCATCACCAAGACACAAACTATACGTCCGTATGCACACACACGTCCTCGATCTGCTACGTATATCTGCCCCTCCCACAGACATTTTCAATTAACACCAACCGAGCATAATGCAGATTCTACAATTGGCTGATGACAACACGACTGCATGTAGTGAAGCATCATAGCCACCCATACATACCCAGACGGGACTCGTATTTCTCCCATTCGCTCTGCATCGTGGCTCTTTCATCTAACCAATAGAAGAGGGCGGCGGAGATCCAAGCGTGTAGAAAAATTCCACCCTGGAGAATGAGAGCCTCACGCCATGTCCAAAACGAGAGGATCCAACTGAGTAGATGATTCGTAGCAAAGGCCCCTATTCCTCCTCCACACACCATCACACCACACGCCAATCCCAGCCTACAACTCACATCAGTATGAACGTAATAGTGGAAGCAGGCAACTCAAAGGTAAAAGACGAAGTTAATTCATTCCCGTGGACACAAAGTAGTTACACATCCCTCTTCTTCCATTTTATGCAAACCAACTTTGTGCTCCCGTTGCAATCTTGCTCAGACAAATAAACAGACCAAATAGGACTGCAATTTTCAGGGTGTAAACGACTATGTGGGTAACCCTCCTTTGGACCTACCATTTGCTATCCTTGAATGTAGAAACGACAGCCATAAACGCAGCCGTATAAGTCAGTTGCAAGCCCAGAGACAACAAAGCACCGTACGCAAAGTACGTAAGAATGATCTCCTGTGCCAATGAGGTCACTAAATCTGGCATGTTGCAAACGTCTAAGGCTACCAATGAAGCTAATGCATAAGAAGAGTGATCCCCATGCCGCTGCTGTTGAATACCCCACAATGGCTGTGAGCGGACATATTAAGGGTGACATGAATTGCGGAATGGCGTAGACCAATGCCGGCAGTAATGACGTGGCTGTCGAGCCTGCATGAAATATATCCTTGAATTCTGTAAACAAAATGCCCGCCGAATACGTGCATCCATCAGCCAAAAAGTAGGAGAGAAAGCCTCCCACAACAGTCATCCACTTTGGAAATGCACTTGAAGCCATCACAAAGCACAAACCCCCAACCGGAGCCGTCGAGAGCAAGACGCAATCAACGCTGAACACAACCTGTTTAGTTGTGGCCTCAAGGCCAACGAAGAGCTGCGCAAACGAGAATCGACTAAACAGACGACCAAGAACAATGAAAGTGCTTAAGAAAATTTGCACTCCGGACAGCACGAATTATTTTTCTCGCAAATATTTTCATATTCGATAGCCTTCAAGGTAGTTTTTGTTTAAAAGTTCTTGGTATCCGATCGACTGCAGTTGTGAACCAAGCTCATCTTCTAGGTAGGCAAGACTTGCTAAAGGCAGGATATATGCGTACTAGACTCCCTTGGTCATCCTCACTTTGGCCCGATCAGAGGCGTACTTGTTCAACTTACGTCAGTTTTAATCATTTTCTTACAATTGAATGATACGTCATTGTCTGCCCCGCCTAAGCTGTAAGCAGTCTAATAGGATAATTTAACTAAGTGGTGCATACCTTGATTAGCTGAAGGATGCTATCACCGAGGGTGGATTCGAGTTAGAAGGTGACAAGCTTGTGAGCAGTGGGGCACAAATGTTTCTAGCGCAGTCTCAAACCTGTCATTATATAGCAGTCTCGTTGTAATACCTTGAACGTTGGTCAATTTCCTAATCATCCAGCTTTTGGTAAATCATCCGGCCTTCAGGTTGTCGTCGTTTGCCGTTTGCCTCGACACAATTATTTAGTCATGCCTTCTATTGCCAAGTGGTAAGCCTCGGAGCACCGCGCTTATGTCTGCTTCTTCCAAGAATCTCGAAGAAAATTAAGCCAATGCCTACTTTGAAGTTGCATAAAGGGGCAAATATGGTTCTTTCAACATGCGCACATAACATAATAGAGCGCATCAGTTGAGTGCACCTGGGATAGTGGTGCTAGTCGTCTCGCTATTGTAGATGAAGCAGTTCCTCCTATCCTCTATCTTCTATTATAGAGTTTTGAGATGGTACCAGGTTAAATACAACAGCTGCTGCATGCGGCATCCCGGCTTTCTAACCTCGCACCCTGCACTTGCTACAACACAGTTTGATGCATCAAACCAACTTCTTGATGAGGACATTTTGTGAGAACCCGCCTCGTTTGGGGAAAACATCAATTCCCTACCCTACTGCCAACCCCTGAGTCTTCGTTAACAAGGCAAGGAATGACTTGTAAGTCGATGGTCTGTTAGGAGTTTTTTTGGCTTTCGTGCACCCGTATATTGTACACGATCCCAATGTTTACGTGAACTCAGAAACTCACCACTAAATTGAGCCCATTGCCTCTTTCAAAGCTTTTCAACAGCACCAACTTACTCTAGAATTCGTTCCACTTTAAATCCACTAATCCACTTTAAACCTTAAAATAAAACTAATACAGGTCATTAAATCAAGCACGACCTTCACCTAATTGTTTAAATTTTCCTTGACAGGGAGTGTCACGTCCGGCGGTGTGCGTCGATGGGTCGGGTGCGCGTGTTTGGTAAGTGGTAAGGTCTCACTGATGACGTTGCACACCAACTTCGTTGATAGCGTGATATATGCATCACCAGCTGATGTTGCTTAGGATCACTACTCTTCTTCTGTTCTAGGTTCTCTGCCATTAGAGGGTAAGCGGCACGTTGCAGTGATGATTGATCACGATGGTCTTCGTACGGTGTTGTGGCGACGAGTTTGGTCCTGAGTGCCTTCATGACGATGCTGTCTCCCTTGTAGGTTCTTCCAGCTGCTGGTGGTCTAGAGGTCTGGAGGTTGATGATGTGTAAGTGGTGAGTGTTATGGGATGACAAATTCTTTCCCCGAATGAAAGGCGATATGATAACTTCGCTAATTGACTGACGAATGATAACGAGTGTTTACAATTGTAGGAATTTGACCGATGGAAGCTGATCGGGAATGAAATGTGAGTGAGTTGATGATGACTAAGATTCAGCCCTGATTGCTGATGCTTTTGCGAGCTTTTTAACGCTGACAAGCTGACTAAATGACGTGCTTTAATTTAGGTTTGAGTACGTGATGTCGGGCCCTACATTTGTATGAGCGGCAAATTCTGTCTTGACAACCAGATCTTAGCGAAAGTAAGTTGGTACCTAGGATGTGATGGTATCTTTCGA